CTAGATGGTGGCACGGCACAAGAAGTGCGATTGTGAAACGGCCGCTGGACTGTGACCCCAGCCTGAAAAATCCCTCGGTCCAGGGAGATGTGCTCAGGAAGGGCCAGACGGAATAAAACCCCATCCCAGTGTGGATGCAGTCGAAGATGCGGCCGTGCCGCTGTCTGTGCCCTGCCTGCGGCTGGAGGAGGGAGCCTGCAGGAGAGAAACAGCACCTGCACTGTGGAAATAGAGCCATGATCAATCCCACCACCCAAACCACTGAAAATAACTCAAGAATAAGTTGTTTAGTGGGATTGCTATTTCTTAGAGCAGCTAAACACATCCCAGCTCCTCCAGAAGAAAGTTTAGAGGCCAGTAACATAACAAGAGGTTCCACTGATGATTTTAATTTATTTTTTAAAATCTTGTATTAAAGAAACACAACAGCTATGGAAAGACAAACCTGTTTTAGGTACCCGGGCTGCTGGCAGGACAGGGGGTTTCATGTGACCCCAGGCAGGAGAAGGTTTTCAAGTGATGGCAGTGCTGCCCTCGCTGCAACCTGCAAAAATTCAGTGCTCAGCTCTCCAGCTTCTTTGTGTGGTGCATCCAAGAGGGCCCAATCCACACCAGCATTCAGGCACTTTGGAACATGTCTAATCTAAAATGATGATGAAAAAATCATCCATGCAAAGATGCAATTTAATCCATGAAAAGATGCAATTTAATCCATGCAAAGATGCAATTTAATCATAGGCAGATCAGTAATAACAGAAATAAAAATGTTTATATTATTTTAAATAAATGGCTTGGAACAGATTCCCAGGGGAGATTGCCAGCGAGTTGTCACCAACTTTGGTTTGGACTTGTGAGACTTTGAAGTATTTTAAGAGAAGTCTGCAATGGCTCAGAACTCTCTGAGCAGCCACTGCCAATGGCCTGGAAACTCCCAGCGAAGGCTCCCAGGAGTTTTTTTCTAGCTTAATTAAAATCCCAATGAAACAAAGTACCTAAATTCCTCTGAGCTTTTGCAAAGGCCCTGGACAGGACTCCACTCATGTTCCCAGCTGGATGGAGAGCTCAGGTCCTGCAAACAAGCCTTGTGCCCTGTGGTGATGTGCTGCAGGCACCCAGCCCTCACACAGCAGCTGGCTCCTCACCTGCAAAAGGCAAGAAATAGCCAGGACCTCCCAGAAAATCTGTGTGCATCAGTGACAGTGTTGGCACACGTAGCCACCACCAGTTGCTGTGTGAGCTGCAGTCAAGGCAACAGCTGTGGGGGCAACAATTCCAACCCAACTCTGTCTAGTTAATGCAAAACCAGCTCATTAATATTTCATGGCAATAGCTTCACTGGTAGCGTAGTGGCTCCTTGATGTAATGCACAGGAGGTTAAATGGGCTGGGGGATGTAATTAGAGAACACAAATCATCTGGAATCTGGCACAAATCAGGTCAAAACTTTTTCCTTTCCTAAACTTTTATGACAAACATGGAAATAGAATCACAGAATAATTTGGAGAGGAAGGGACCTTAGAGATCATCTTGTTCCACCCCCCTGCAATGGGCAGGGACACCTTCTACTAAACCAAGTTGCTCCAAGCCCTGTCCAACCTGGCCTTGAACAGTTCCAGGAATCCCCAATCTCTCTGGGCAACCTGTGCCTCAGCACACTCACAGTAAAGAATTTCTTCTTAATCTAAAACTCTCCTCTTAATTTAAAACTGTTCCCCTTGTCTAATTCAATATCTGCCCTATAAAAAGTCACTGTCCCACATGCAAGATAGGAGCAGCTCTTCCAGGTTGTTGATGCACCTTCAAGGAGGATCTGCACTGAGCTGTGGAGATGCTCAGGGTCATGTTAACCCTGTTCCCCAGCCCTGGCAAGAGCCAACAAGCTTCAAAAATGCCCAGAGTTACCTGTTACACTTACCCAACTCTGCTACACTGCATGGATTTCCCCAAAACTGGAAGCATTCCAAAAAAAACAACACTAACAAATATAAAACCAAACCAAAAAATAACTATCAGCATTTCCATCTGAGACACTCCACCGAGCCCTGCAGAACTAACAACTGGTGTTTTCCTCTGCAGCTCAGGCACTGCTGCTGTTGCTGTTTTCTTTTGCCATTAATCCCATTTGGTGACAGTTTTCATGCACCCAGGAATGCTGATTCATTGCACCCTTGGGAGTATAAATAAATGGGATGATTTATCCAAAACCATCCTCACAAGTGCTTGGGAGAAACCTATGGCATTCTTGCAGCAAGCATTCCAAGTTGCACTTTGTTTCTTTTACATTAAGATTTTTTGGGGATGCAGCTGATGAAAGAAGAAACAAATTAGCTGTGTTTGAGGTTAAAAAAAAAAGGTATATTATATTTGTCCCTCCCATCTGGCATGTTCTATTCACTCCATCATACCTTTAAGAAGGAGGTAACTCCTGCGGGGAGGAGAGACTTATCAGGGCAGAGGAACCATTTTGAAGACTCTTTTTAAAAGAGAATGTTTCCATGCACATCTGCACATGTGGAGTTTGTTTCCAGATCAGTGATCTTCCCCACAAAATGTTTTTCCCAAGCTCCATGCAGTAGGTACTTAGCATAGCTGGTGACTGAGGGTTTTTTTCCTTTTGATGGTAATCACGTTTCCTGCAAGCAAGAAGGAAAAATTGAAGCTCTGTGTTACTATAGCATGATCCCAGCTGATCATGGCTGTTAGTGAATTTAATGCATGAAGGTTAAGGGTCATTTCAGCTAAATTCAGCTGTTTGGCACCAGAAGTCCAGATAAACAGTTTAAGATTACATACCTGTCATATTGAAATGCTAAGCAATGGCTATTTCCAGAAAAAAATAATCTGCTTGGAACCATATCCCGAAGGGATGCACAAGTCTGTTGAGCTGCTTATTTCTTTTTACTGGAGATAAAGAACAAACCTGAATGATGAGTGTGGGCTCGTGTGACTAAGTCAGCTGTTACAGCCAATTCCAGCCTAAATGCTCATAAAACAGAATATTTGCCTTAAAACTAAAGCAGTAATTTTTAATCTAGGATTTCTGCTTTTCTCTTCATCCCTCCAGCAGGTCAGGACAGGCATTGTGGGGAGCAGCAAGGCTCAGAAATGCAGTCATACTCCCTGTCCTGGACACACAGGGATGTTGTGAGGGATGGCTATTCCCCAGGAAAGAGCAGCAGCTGTTGGGGCTCCCTCTCAGAACAGTGCTGGGAAATAAGTACAGAAGGAAGTCTCCTGCAACATAACAATTACTCTCCCCACACAATGGGATGCTGCAAGAGAGGCTGTGAGAGGGACACCAGGGTTACTCCAGAACTGCAATCAGTTTGCAGCATGTTAATAAGCCAGGAAACAAAGGCAAATCCCTGCTGCCCTGGGACCCACAAGGTCGGATGCTGCCAGTCCTTCTGGCAAAGCAATTTGCTGTAATGCACTTGTGTGGCCTCAGAAAAACACAAGCTGGGATGATCCTGGGAGCAGTGGGAGAGGGGGGTTGGTGGAGCACAGCCCTGGGAGGTGCCATGGCAGGGCCAGCTGCTGCTGTGCCTCCACAGCAACATGGATGCACAGTTCAATCCAGGGATACAGAGCTCAGCCCAGGGATGTAGAGCTCCACCCAGAGGGGCACAGCTCAGCCCAGGGATGCACAGCTCAATCCAGGGATGCACAGCTCAGCCCAGGGGTGTACAGCTCAATCCAGGGGTGTAAACTGAATCCCAGGATGTGTGGCTCAGCTCAGGGATGTACAACTTGGCCTAGGGATGTACAACTCAGAGAGGTACAGCACAACCCAAGGATGTACAGCTTGGCCCAGGACGTAAAGCCTAATCCAGGGATGTGGGTCTCAGCCCAGGGCTGCAGAGCTCAGCCCAGGGATGTACAGCTTGGCCTGGGATGTACACTTTGGCCTAGGAATGTACAGTTTAGCCCAGGGATGTACAGTTTGGGCTAGGGATGTACAGCTTGGGCTAGGGATGTACAGTTTGGGCTAGGGATGTACAGCTTGGCCCAGGGATGTACAGCTTGTCTTAGGGATTTACAGCTTGGCCCAGGGATGTACAGCTTGTCTTAGGGATGTACAGCTTGGCCCAGGGATGTACAGCTTGGCCTAGGGATGCTCGGCTCAGAGCAGAATGGGAGCAGAGACAGAAGAGAGCAGAGAGCAGCACTAAAGAAGCTGCCAACACCCACTGCCTCTTGGGCAAACCAGCATAAATTTCTTGACAAAATAAGGCAGAGAAGGAAGAAAAACAGCCCCAAACCCTAAGAATTCCCCTTCCAGCAATAAAGCACGAAGGAGCTACGGCTCCTCTTTTCCCAGCCCAGCGTGGAGCACCGGCAGCCCTTCCCCTGGCTCATCACGGTCCCTTGGCACGGGAATTGCCGCCGGGCCCGGAGCCGCAGGACGGGCGAGGGCCGCCGGCCCGGCCGCTGCCCCGGTGCCTCGGCGGCCGCCGGCGGCGGCTCGGGCAGGGCAGGGCAGGCAGCCAGGGGATATATTTAGCAGCAGCAACAAAGCAGGCAGCGGGATCAGCTGACTGAGGCTGGGAGCTGGCGCACGGGCTGGTGTCAGAGCGGCGGCGCATCTCCCGTGCGGAGCGGGGCAGAGCCGCGGCCGGGCCGCCGCAGCCGCAGGTAAGGGCGGGGGTCTGGCCGCGGGGGTCGCGGGGAATATCCGCGCTGCCGGCAGCCAGCGATGCTCCAGGCGTGGTGGAAGGGAAGCTGCGGGCAGCTCGCCGGGGTGGTGACGGGGAGGTGACCTCGGCCACGCCAGGGCGAAGGGGATGGCATCCGCCGGGACCTGATCCATCCCATCATCGGAAGAGTGTTACTGCGAATAGGTAATTTAAATTTCCTTCCGCAGGAAGGGCGTGTTGGCAGGACTTAGTTACTGATTAGCGCTGTCGCGATTTAACACGACATGCCCGCGCCGCTCACCGGGAGCATCCGCCGCTCCCGCTGCCGGGCCCAGGCTCTGACAGCGCCGAGCTCAGCAAGGGCTGGGAGGGAAGGAAGGAACCAGCCTCTTCTTTGAGGTTTGAATACATGAGAGAAACAGAGCAGGCAGGAAAAAAGGATAAAAAGGGCCCTAAGGTTTAAAACAAGCATCTCCTGCTCTCAGGTCAGCAAATCCCAGCTTGGCTGCTTTACCGGCAGCACATCGGAAAACCAGGGCGGGCCGGCAGCAGCCTGGGGAGGGATGGGCACCAGGCGAGCTCTACCCTGGGCTCGGCACGAGCTGCTCATTTGTGCTCCCTGTGTGATCTGCAGCTTTGCAGGGAGGTTCAACAAAGCCAGATTTATTTCCAGCAATGACAAGCAAGGCATTAAAATAGCTAGCAAAGCACTTTTGCATTTAATCACACAACAAAGCTATATTGTGTCTGCAGATTAGTCACATACGAATTTCATTGGGGGAAGCAGTAAAAAAAAAAAAAAAAAAAAAAAATCCAGGCTATATGGTCATTTCTGCCAGAAGGGGAGATAAGCAAAGCACAGCGGGGAGTGTTTGGAGAAAAAAACGTCAGTACTGTTAGAAAACACTGCAGCACAAAATATACTGAAAAATTTGTAATTCAATATATTTAACTAAGTAATAGGAGCTGTTTGTTGGAAATCCATCTTAAAATGAGCAGAGGATGACTGTTTGAATATAAAGGACATTAATTGAATCCCTTTGACTCCATGTAAACACTCAGGGGAGGACCTACGTCTCCATAACTACATTTATGAACTATGGACAAAAGTGACCGTGTACATTCTCACTGGCAGCTTCTAGAAGACACCACTGTAATGCTGCTTCATTTTGGTGTTGCTTCCCATAGGGGCAGGGCAGCTCCTCTCCTGCTGGGTTCAGCTCCTGCCTGCTTGGGCTAAGAGTGAAGTCGGAGCCCTGTCACAGTGAACAGACATGGAGCATTAAATAAGGAGAGTAGTTTGTGCCCTGCTGCTCCAACAAGGGCAGTGAGACAAGCTCATGCTACTGTCCCATACCTCTCCAGATGTGCTCCCTTGAATTGCTTCAGGAGGGAGCACCATTGCTGATCTCCTTAATGAACCCTCTATTTACTGCCACATTTAATGACTTGTCTTCTTTGGTACATTTATGAAGGTCTTTATGAAGCCATGGATATAAAAGTACTGCCAGCAGACTTAAAATGCAGTTTTTGTTAACAACCATGTTTACCACAAGAAGACATCAGTGGCTCAGGTAGAAACAAGCCCAGGATTTCTTTACCACGGCAGATTTTCACATGCTAATCAGGTCTGCTCTGTTCCTTGCAGCCATGGCACCCCGGATCAGACTGAGCCTTTCCAAGCCTCTCCCAACCATACGGGAAACCCACGAGGAAGCGATGGAGGATCCAAGCAGCAACCCAAAGTGTGCTGGAAGTGCTGCAGCCAGCCCAGACTCGTACTCCAGCGACGACTACATCCAATCCATCTGCCACCTCGCCAGACCCACCTTCCCAGCCCTTCTGGAAAGCAGACGTAAGGGTAAGGACAGAAAGACCCTGAAGACCCCTGAGGATGTGTCAGGTTCTCCACCACTTGTGGGGACACAGCAGGAAAGGTCAAAATGCAAATTGACCAATTTCATCTCGAATGTGGTGCCACTGGGAAAAGTCTCACCTGCAGAAACCGACTTTTGGTCCAGAGAGGACCCCCTGGAACAAATTTACACCAATGCAGGAAATCTTTGCTCCTCCAAGGCTTCTTCCTATGTTGAAAGTGCCAGCAGTGGTTACTCACAGTGCAACTCTTCTGCCCCAAATGGTGACCTTCATCCCACAAACCTGGAAGAAAAAAACACAGGGAAAACCAGTTTTCCACGAGTGTTCAGTTTTCCAAGGCTTCCCTCCCCAAGACCGGTTCAGAAAGAAGCAGTGTGCTCAGAGCTGAGGTATCTCAGAAGGGCTGAGGGAACAGTTTTAGGGAATAACCACAGTCAGAAAGAAAATGGCATGTTCATTAACACTGAAGAGCAATTGGCACCCTCAGCCAGAGGGAAGGTGGCAGGAAACCCTGCCTCGCCCTGCTCTGAAGAAAGGCAGAATTTGTTCAATACAGCAGGCATAGATGAAAAAGAAGGAAGAAAAACTTCTCACTGTGACAAAAATGTCATGGGTGGTGTTCCCACTAAGCAGAGATACTTTGAGTCTTTCCAGGTACCTAAAAAAGCCACCATCCATAACTGGATTTCAGAGCACAGATGCATCTGGAAAGAAGCAAAGATAAAAGCTTGTTTGCTCCCAGCCATTGCTGAAGTGTGAAGAAGTAGCTGCTTAGAATAATTTTATTCACAAGATACAACCACCCTGTGCTCTAGCAGCTCTCCCTGGAGTTCTCACACAGAAAACATGGCTTGAACATGCATGCGAGTCAGGCAGACTCTTGTGATCCATCATATCCCTCATCCGTGGGTAAAGGGACAATTCAGAGTCTCATGTGCTAAGGAAACAGCAATCAGTTTTTATTTTGGAAAGGCAACAGTTCATAAAGCATCTCCTCCCACCTACTGCTGAGAACTGCCCTGAGCATGAAGAGAGCTGGAGAGAGCTGGAGAGAACACAAATCCCATCTGCTGGAGAAGAAGTGGGAACATGGAAACACCAGTGCTTTCCAGCCAGTGCCAAGCAGCCAGATGTTGCTGACACCTGAGTACAGTTACTCAAAAAGGAACTCTTTGCCTAAGGCTCAGTACGAAATGCACTTTCTCTGACACACACATTTACTGGGAGACCCATCACAGATCCCTGCCTCAGCACCAGGATCCCACTGGAGAGGTCACCCATTAGAGCAGTAGCATAAAGAATTACTTCTTAAAAATCATAAGAAGTCTATTAAGAGGATTTGCTGGAGGGCAAGGTGGAATTACAACTCCTTGGGTGGGGATTTTCCTGGTGCTTACCCTGTCACAATTCTGTTCCCTTTACTCCTGGACTTAGCCCTGGCAGGAGGAGAGCTGGGAGCCCTGGTGGGTATTGCTGTGCCAGTGCTGTGGCTGTTGTGGAGCCAGCTGGAAAAAGGCATCACGTTGGACTCTGCACTGTCACAGCCAGGCTGCACACCACAGGCACCCACAGGATGTGCTGCTCAGGTGTGGGGAGCCCATGAGCCCACACAGAGCTCTGCAGGCTCAGAAGAGCAGCCTGGGCTGAGGGGCAGCCTAGGGATGCTGGGCTGGTGCTGATAGAACCTGAATGTAAAATAATAACTCGTGTTTCCTATCATACCTGTGCTTCTGTATTCTCGCTTACCTGACTGTGCTGATGATGTGGAGCGAGCTTTGCTTCATGCTGCAAGACTGAAACGTGGAAAAAAGCAAATGTGCATGTCCCAGCCACCCAGCACCCAGCATATACAAACGATTCATGTTGATGGTGTTGCTACATGGGATGTCTGTAGGATGAGAAGCATTCCCACGAGGCTGGGAGGTCCTGGCATGGGGTAGTGGGCACGTGCCCAAGCCATCCCTCACTGCCACACAGAGACTTCTCCATCAGAGAAGCTGCCATTGGCACTTTCTCCTGCAGTCAGAGCAACCTCACCCACCTGTGTCTGGTGCCACACTCTCCACAGCCAGTCAGGAGATGTAGCTGAGAGAACTGCAAAGCAATATCAGCCTAATTATTACTACTACTAGGAATAAATGTTTTGGCACAGCAAAGAGCAGAGGGACCAGGCTGTTTGCTCAACAGCAGCTAAGATGAAAAACAGCATTGGAAAGCTGAAATTATAAAAATGCTCACAAGTGATTTCCAAACCACCCTCAAGCAGATTAAATGAAAAAGCAATTTCTACTCAGCACCAACATGAGTGTAAATATGCTCAAGGATCAAAAGGTGAGAGTGTTTGAGCTCCTCATCCTCACATCTCTTACCTCAAATATTTTTTTCTCCTGTTGAAACTCATTAGTGCTATGGATCCGGGCAGCTTCTCAGCTCTGTTTTTGAACTATCCATACAGCAAGAATGGAAGTGAAGGTGGCTCCAGCATTCATTAAAGCTGATGGAGAAAGTTGAACCCAGGAGGTCCCAGCCTGCTCTGCCCCCTCCACACCTGCCCCTCCCTTCTCAGGTAAATGCTGGGGTTTAAGCAATGCTTGTCCTTACTGCTCTGCTGTCATTTAAATTTCTCTCCCTGTGGATATTTATGACTCTAATGCCTAACAAGTCTTGTGCCAACTGCATGTATCACTGCTTTTGACAGAGGAAACAAATAAAATCCTTCCATCCAGTTGTTGTTTCCATTCTGCATTCCCCAGGGCATTATTTAGTGCTGGGCTGATGCACAGCACATGGGCTGTGACTTGCCATGCCAGCACCTTCTCACTCTACCAGGTCACCCCTTCAGCAGCTGCTACCCAGGGCTGGGGTTCCTCCTCAGCTGCCACAGTCCTGCAAGTCTCTACACCTCTGAAACCCATCACCATTTCTCTCCAGAGCAAAGTGGCACAGCAGCAGATGAGAGCTGCAGCCCAGGAGTCTGGGAAAAGCCCCCAACTCCTCTGATGCAGGACTGGGAGCAGGCTGTGGGGGCTGGGGTGAGGACAGGGTTGGACTCAGAGTGGGGCCATTTAAAAACAGTGTTAGTGCCAGATGCAGCCAGGTTTGGAGCAATGAAGCTTTGTAGTGAACTGGCTCTTTCTAGAGAATACTTGTACTTCAGTGAAAACTGAGATTCTGCTCAAGCAACTGGGTTTTTCAAGAGGAGCCAAAGCTCCTGGGATGCAGCAAAGATAAGGTCAAAGAGACACAGGCAAACTAGGGTCACAGAAGTGGCAAGGCAAGGGAGGAGGGAAATGTGGGGCTGGTGGTGCCAGTGAGTGAGCAGGGCAGCTCCCAGCAGGAGTGGCTGGGCCAGGAGCCCCAGTCTGAGGAATTCCAGCTGTGAAGCTGTGACAGGTAAGAAAAGAAAAGCTGGTTTAAAATAGGAGAAGCTGTGACAGATAAGAAAAGAAAAGCTGGTTTAACATAGGACAGAGGCAACAGATAGGAGGGTTGTTTCTATTCAGGTTTACTTAAATCCTGTTTTGAAAAGTACAGTCCTCACCTTCTTCACCATCAGTTATGTTGGAAATGACCATGTTGGTACTTGTGAAATCACTGCACAATTAAATATGCACCAGTTCCCTGAATAAGGCTGTTCTGCAGCTGTACAACATCAACCACCTGCTGCAGATGTACTTTGGGCTGGTTCAGGGAGGGGATGGGGATTGGGGCAGCCCTGTCACAGCCTCTCTGCCCTCCAGCTGCTGAGGGAGCCTGCAGTCCTACCAAAGGAAAAAAAAAAAGGGATGCTGTTGGGTGGGATAACGTGGCCTGTGGTTATACAGCAGTTTTCTCCTTGTTCACCCCATGGATGCACACCTGGGCCATCCGAAAATGCTCCCCCTCTTTCCTTCTCTGCAGAACAGCCCCTGAGCTATCACTGGTCAGGATAAGCCTGCAGGAGTTGCTGCCTTTTCAGAAGTGCTTCCAGACAAGAAAGAAAACCTTATCTAGGAATTTAGGTCACAGAGAGAGATAAAAGCCATGCTGCTTCCATGGCCAATCTCATGGCAGGCTCTGCATTTCAAGTCACCAAGTCATGGCAGAAAAATCTCATTTATTGAGATCATCAGAACTGCCAAAGGGATTTGGATTAATTTGAATGGGGAATTGGTATCCAAATCCCACCAGCAGCTTTAAGTCTCAGGCTTCACATCCAGTTCACAAGCAAACCATGAGCTAACATGGCAATTTTGCTTGCATGATCATGCAGCCTCTTCCTGCTGCAAACAGTAAATGCATTTGGACACAGAAAATCATGACTAGAATTTACAAACCTGAGATGGTGAGGCAGAAAGAAAACTGTCCCCTTTTTTCCTCAGATTCTTGTCTTTAAATGACAAAGATACCCATCAGCTGAAACCCAAGGTGAGGAAGCAACAGCTCTGTGATCAGACCTGTGCAGTGCAGGAGCTGCTCAGAAACTCCAACAGCACAGAGAGCCTCACCCACCCAGGAGGGGCCTTTCTGTGCCCACACAGCCATCTAGAGAGATGCTGATAAACCAAATAAAATATGAGCCAGTGCAGAGTGATTACAGACAGGGATTGTAATGCAAGAGACAATGGGAGCAGATTGAAGGGCTGCACACAAACAGGGAGATGCTGCAGGGCTAAGAGCAAGGTTAGCAAAATCAGTTTCTATAAAGGTCTTTAACTCTGAAGTTAGGATTAAAGCAGCTATTTTTGATTTCAGAAAAAAAAACCCAACTCTTAAAGCTCCAAGGAAAACTTAAGGCTCCCACCTTTAAAGGAGATCAGAGCTGAGGCAAAGCCCAGCTGAAAGCAGGGGCTTTGTGGGTGGTGCTTCAGGCTTTCCCCCTGCCCTGAAGTGCCTGCAATTGGGCCTAATTGCTCATTAAGGGCACATTTTTATTAACTTTGAGCCTTCCTAAGTGGAGACTGCTTCATTTATCATGGTGCAGAATGAAGTTAAACTGCATTTAGTGGCTAAGCAGGAATCCCTTAGCTTTAAACGAAACCTTGACTGAACCATCAGACTGTGATTAATGGCAAAGTGTTTTGTATTTTCCATTTGCAACTGTAGCCATGAGCAGAAGAGAGCTCTGAAGTGATGGCTGGAGCTTTCCTGCCTGCCTTTGCAGAGCCAGGACGTTCAGGCACAGCTCTGCCTTGCTCAGCAGGGCCCACGTGTGTTTTTGGGGCTGGCATCCTATTTGGGCCACAGTTGACAGCAGGGGTGACCCCTGAAGCACCACATCATGGGCTTGTGGCCTTTCCCCATGCTCAGGGATTCTCAAGTATAATCTAATTTGTTTGACACGAGCTGGAGCTGATGCGAAATACATGTTGTGTAAATAGAGAGATATTGTTCCTGGTAATTGCAGCCTTCCTGGAATTAATGGTCCTGGAGGCAATGCTTCCTAGGGCTGTTGCAAAGAGCTGTAGAAAGAGTGGGCATTTTTAGAATACCAGCTTGTTGCTACATAAAGTTTGACCAAATGCCATTTAAATCAAAGGGAGCCTTTAAGTGCTTTGGAATGGGCTTGTAATGGGGATAATGAGGTGCTGCATTTAAAGCATGGATTTCTAATAGCAGCTGATGAGGAAAATCAAATTATTACTTTATTTATTTGTGTGTATTAGCACTGTATCCACTGTCTCTTGTCTTTGCTTTTAAATTAACCTAGCTGAAAGCCCACCAGCCTGCTGTGAGCTTAGCAAAAACTGTGTGTAAACCACAAGGTTTTATTGCCTGTGCCTCACACACCTGCAGAGGCTTTGTCCCTCAGGATCAGCACATCCCTGCTCTGCAGAGCGGGTGGTCACACAGGTGAGAGCAGGAGGAGCCAGCAGGGACACTGCCACATCTCATCTGGCAGCACAATGTGACATTTGCAAGTCAGCTGTGCTTAGCTGAATGTTTTGTTATTTTTTCCTGGATGGCGAGTACGTGGGAAAGGAAATGGTTTATCCAGAGGTGCTGGGCAGACCCTCTGAAAGGAGGCTGTACCAGGTGGGTGCTGGGCTCTCCTCCCACATAACAAGTGGCAGGACCAGAGGAAATGGCCTCAAGTTGGGGCAGGAGAGGTTTAGATTAGGTATTGGGGAAAATTTCTGGATGGGTTGTTAAGCCCTGGAACAGGCTGGGATATGGTGGAATCACTGTCCCTGGAAGTGTTAAAAAAACATGTAGGTGGGGCACTGAGGAACATGGCTTAGCAGTGGGTTTGGCAGTGCTGTGCTGAAGTCAGTGATCTTAGAGAGCTTTTCCATCCTTAATTATTTTATTTTATATTTTTATATTGCTCCAACTTGCTCGATGAGCACTGGCTGAACTCCACTAGCTGAGCTTCAGAACAGGGAGATGCCACATCTCAAATGTCCAGGCTCCAAAGCAATTACACAAGAAATACCAAATTTGCTCCAGATGTTCTTCACATTCCCCATCAGGTCATGCTACAGAAGCATCAAAAACTGCACAGAACAAATTGTGACGCTGGCTCACAAGTGCCCTTCATGGCTGCTAAGCAGTGCCAGCCTCCCACCAGGCCCTGCTGAGCTGGGGGCTGTGTAAATGCAGTGGCCAGCCCTGACTTGCTGAGCCTACAGGCTATTCCAGCCTCATTAGTGGGATGAGCTGGGAGCTTCAGACTGAGCTTGATTTGCACAAAGAGCAAAGGAACCTTCACGTGGTCCTCACTCACAGAGCCAGCTGTGGAAAACAGTGAAAAATAGAATTGTTTGTTTTTTAGGGGAAGCAAATACAAGCACAGGTCTGATCATGCCTGGTTTTGAATCCAGAAACATCCAGACCCCAGTTTAGGACAGATGGGTGTGTAACAGCTGGCACTGTCTGCTGGTAATAAGAGTTTGAATGGTGCAAATCTTGCAGGTGAGTTCCTGCTCCTGCTCAGAAGAGCTGATGGGATGGGTCAGAGCAGCTGCAGCTGGGGCTCTGCTGCTGCTCCCAGCCTGCTGCAGTCCCAAAATGTCACTGCACCTGCTCCTCCAGGCACTACGAGGTGACATAAAGCACAGCCAGGCTGCGGTGACATTTGAGACATTTGAGCTGCTCAGTCAATGTTCAGCTTTCCTTCAGGTGTGCTGAGGTGTGAGGCATCCCCAGCCCTCCAGGGATGGTGACATCCCTGCCCCAGATGCCAGATTCTGAGCTGACCCTCTGCTCAAACCTGATTTCCTGGAACAAGGGCACTCAGTCAGAAAACAACACCTCCTTGCTGTGCAGGGTCAGCTCCTGGAATTAATTGCTGCAGGATGTCAACAAGATAAAATTCAGCAGGATTCAAGGGAGGATTAGACAGTCCTGTGATCAGGAACATTTGTGCAATGCTAACTGGGTCAAAGAAATACAAGAGAAATTAAGTGTTGTGCTTCCCTGAAGGGCTGAGCTGGTACCAGCTGGGTTTAGAACAGATTCCTCCCCACCTCCCTTTCCCAGTCTTTTTATAGCAACAAGCAAATAGCAGGATCTATTGCAAAGTGTCTTCTCTTCCCTTGGCATAATAAAGTATTGCCTGCTTTAGGAAGTCCTCGAGACCAAAGTGACAACTGATCCTTGCTGCAGCACTCAGCAAAACCCTCCCCTTGCCATTTTAAAGGCAGAAAATGAAAGTTTCCTTTCTCTGCTGCCTCTAAGCTTCAAATCAACAATTTCTCAAGAAGGGAATGAACTGCACAATAAACTGGCTGCAGATGAGCTACT